CCATGTCGTTCGTTTTCTTGTACCTTTGCAGGAGGGGTTAAAAAGATACAAATGAAGGATAGCGGGAAAGGGGTGAATTTACTTGGCCAAAGCAGTTTCGACTTGCGGAAGCTCTTTGGACGCAATCTCTCTGATGGTGGGGCTATCCGATGATCGAGCTGCGAGGGCTAACCGGTTTCGTGCATCGGTGATGAGGGCGACTGCTTCCCCGTTTTGCCTAAACACCAAACGAGAAACGTCAACACTAAGCGCATGCACTCGTACCAAAACGAAGACAGACACCCACTCTTCACCAAATTTAACCTCAGCAATCATCCCCCTCGCCTGCGCAACACAAATCGTCTCCCCCATATCCTTCACATATCCAACAAACTCCTTTGACAGATCCTTGATCTCGCCACCAGGTAACCCCGACAATTTGGCGTACGCGTCACGGTACAGGGATGACGCCCCGAGTGCGAGTTTGGCGAGAAGAGCGAGGGATGTGCCGAGGGAAAGGGTTTGGGCTTTTTGAATCGCGATGCGTTGCGCGTCTGCTAGGCATATTCTACAACGCAGGTGTTAAATACGAAAAGGCGGCAAATATAAGGGTTAACTCACATGGACAAAGCCCTCGCCACATCCCCAACGACCTCTGTCGGTCTCTCCACCGGTAAATTCAACCATCTCGGGCTTCCAAAATCTTTATCATTTGCCCAAAATTCAAACACGCCCGACGCACGCGTCAGGTAATCCGCGGCCATATTGAAGCGGTCGCTTGTGGGAGATGTCGGAGAGGTTGCGGAGGAGGAGGGTAATGGTGGCGGTCCGGCAAGAACTGTGTTTGATAGTGTGCAGAGAGTGAAGCCGTAGCTCTGGAATGGCCTAAAGTGGTGAATCAAAAGAGTGATGAGGATCGTGAATGGGCTGCACGTACCAGTAACACTTCGGCGACCTCGAACCAAATGGACGCACACGTAACGTTCCCCTTCTTTTTACTCAACACGGGTCGCCACGTCACTTCTACATGCACACCCCAGACCAACACGACAACAATGAATCAATGGGCATCGTGGCAGTAAAGGGCGATCCGCATCAAGGGCATCCGCACCAGGTACATTCTTGGTAGACTCTCCCTTCACATCTTTCGATAACGTCTTTGCGAGTGCGAGCAACGATGGAATGTACTCCTCAAGCGCCTTCAGCCCTGCCTCTCCGCCTCTGGCGCCTTTGTCAAATACTCTTTTGACAACTTCCCTCCTGGCGTTGAGCAGTTCAATGTCGGATGTGAATAGAAAGGGGGATTCTTTGAAGAGTTTGCTGAATTTGAGGTCAGAAAGGGATGGAGTGGGGTATGGATACGTTGTCATCTTTGAAATTGTGGAAGTACGCGGTTTGGGGAACGAGCTGCTTGAAATTCAGGGAAAGGTATCCAAATTACCAACACGCAAGCCACAAATGCTTTGCTGCTTGAGTCTGTCGCAGAGTTTGTCGCCAACATTCTTTCTCACGATGCTCGCCATGGCCAAACAATGCTCAACCGTTCAGAAACTCACACCAAGGGCGCGTTTCTTGAGAAGCCCCGCGTATAGTTTCTGTTTCCCGGTCATGGTTCCGCGTAGAATGCAGGTTTTGTCCGGTAGCGCATTGTCGACGAGAGTTTTGTGGAACGGCGACCGTCCCTTGCAAAGTTGGAAATATGGAACTGTCCGTTACTGGAGCAGCAATTCACCGCTGCTTTTGTCTAGTAACGCATCGTCAACGCTGGTTTGGCATCGAAAGGCTAGGTGGAATGGCGAGAGTGTATTGCAAAGTTGGATAAATGGGACCGTCCGTCATTATCGCACCAGCGTGTCGTGGCTTCCCAATAGCTTTCCTAGCGATGGAGACAGTGTAATACCAACGGTAGTGGACGGGAAGGAACTGACCCGCTTGGGAATTATAAACTACAAAAAGCTTGTAGCGCTTTATGGAACACCGCTGCCGCAAGGGGAGCTAATTCAACAGAAGAATTGTACAAAATGCAATGCGATGTTGGACTGGAGATTGAATGGGTATATTGAAAGAGAATTGAAAGGCGCTGCCTTTCTGTACAAATGTCATTGTGCTACCTGCATCAAGGCAAAATCGGATAAAGTAAAGAACAGAGTTGCTTGCTTGCTTGCTCGGCCAGGGAGTAGGTCCGTCTCGCCTCATTTGTGCATTCTTCTATAGAAGGTTGAACTGTCAAAAGCGGGAGTACAATGTTTCGATTGTCACCAAATTGAAGGGTTGGTCAAGCGAGGAGATTATTGGTATTGTTCAAAACATGCTGGCAGAAAAAGAGAAAGGCACAAAGAGGTAACAGCAGCGTGATTACGCTGATGGGTCAGTTCTCCGTTCTAACTATAATCCGTTTTTAGAAATACCAATTATCGAAGGCTGGCCAGTGCTGTTACAAGTGCAAGAAAATGGATGGTTTGAAATTTTATGCTGGCATCGCATTTTGCGCGAGGCACTATGAAGACACCAAGTGGGCAATTAAACGGTAATTACATGCTGGGAGGTTCAACAACAAAGAGGGCTCCCTGACATCTTCTTCCTCCCTTGACCTTCAGATTACAGCAAAAATTGGCAGGACAGCCAATGCCTCATTCGTCAATTTCGGCACATCTACTTGCTGAGAGTGTGGCGGGCCTGGCAAAATATGTGCCATCAGACACACAGCTGGTGCTGGATCCCTACATAATCCTTGACACGGAACTGCGTAAGGGAAGGGGCAGTTCAACAAATTGGGAAGATGTAGGAGAGGTATCTGCCATTTACGTTGAAGGAAGAAGATTGTTAAGGGAAATTCATTGGGGGGCGGAGGATTGTGGTGGAGATGTAAGTCGCCTCAAAGAGGAGTGGAAAGCGTTCTCGGAAGGTGAAGTCAGATGGTTGTACATTTTATGTGGCATAAAATCCAATGCGCGTTTATTTTTAGGTGCCAGCATTGTATGGTATTATGGCAGCAGCCGTTGCGATTATCTGCGCATGTCATCCTTGCTTGGGGGAAGTCCCCTGATACTGTGGCAAGACGCATCAACCAGCATTGCCCGACACATAATCACAACCGATTTTACATCAACTGATAGGCCCTACGCTCGCAGCCGGAGGCTGAAGCACATCGACGAAGCGATGCTTTTCGAAAACGAGACGCCGTTGGTGGAAGGCAACATGAACCTGGGGCCGAACCCACGCAAAGTACGCAAGGACGTGGAGATTCTGTGGCGTTGATTCTGATTGCCAAGTATATTATTGAGAAGGGCAAAGAGGCAGAGTGCGGGAAGGGAAAAGACGAGAAGGCAAATGGCCCAGGAGATGGAGGTGCGGCCATCGAGTGACGAATAGCGAGGCCGGTCTGTGAAGCGGGCGTAACGAGGTAACGGTGGGCGACCGAATTCCAGTTTTTGATGAGAGTGAAATCTGTGTCGGGCTGCGTAGGGCGTACGGCATCCTTTGTAGTTTGCAAATTGATTTGAACAAGCAGATGCGAGACAGAGATATGCAGAGTTGGAAACGTTGCCCATTGCCTATTGCACTGGTCGCTCGAGGCACGGTTTGATGACCAGCTTCCAGGCGTTTGGACGAATCGTCCATGAAAATCTCGCGGTACTGAACCACAGCCAGAGGAAACGACGATCTCAACCGGGATCGTAAGGAGAAGACGCACATGCTCAAGCATTGTATGCTCATTGTTTCATTTTGAGTTCCGTCCAAACAATGATCCCGAACCCCTCAACGGGTTTCCGAAGCCTTCGACGGGGGTTTTACCATGGCTCCCATAGTCCTTTATTCTTCTTCGTTGTGAGCTAATATCAAAGAGCGAAACCCCCCGGAAATTCACAACCCAAGACAACCAAAAACAGAAAGAACACGCATCTTCCGGCGGCATTCAATTCCAGGGTATCCTCTCGATAACCAAGTCCGTCTGCCAGACCTGTAAATTTGTAAGATGAGCAGAACGGTCCATCATCCATCGTAGTTTGGACAACCCTGTACAAATTCCGTTTTTTCTTAACAAATGAAAACCAAAAGACCCAATAACAAAGACGAAATGGCTGAGGGGTAGAGGAGAACCGAGCCACGACACACAAGGGTTGCGCAGCAGAAACTGCGCGCGCGTCCATCCCGCTCACGGCGGTATCAAAGCAACGTCCAACGCCCAACGGCCAAAATGCATATTATCAAGCACAAAGAAAGGCAAACAAACAAACAAACCACAAGAAAGAACCGGGCAAGAAGATTGGAAAATATTTAGGATGTTCGGACAACAGGAGCAAAACGCGTGCTCCATCCGCTGTTGTTGCTGCTGCACGACCAGGTTCTTTTTTTTTTTTGAAGGCTGGGAAAGGGTTTTGTCCCAAAAAATAAAATAAAAAATACAGTACAGAAAAGGTAAATGAGCTTGCCAAATCGCGAACATGTGGATACCACTTCGCCAGCGTCGCGCCATTCTCAAAGGTTTTTGGCAAATTGACGGTTCCATCTAGATGCTTTTGATATCCCAGTACTTTTTTTTGCTCTTTCGACTCCTGTGAAAATAGGCAGGGAACAAGCGGAAAAAAAAGAACACTCGCACACACTATACTGAACCCAGGAATGGTTCACGGAGTATCAGCCCTACATTACATTTCCTAACCCGTACACAGCACAGATTGGGCAGGATGGTCAACCCATGTTCTCCTTTGCAAGCACCAAGAAATGAATGCCCGAAAAATGTAAACGTAGCATCCGGCTCCGAACAGATAAATTGCAGTCTTCTCTTGGGTCACAGGGTATCCAATTTCTGCCCGCTCTCTTCGCGCCAGTTCCGGGCCTTTTCCTAAAACACAAAAACACAAAAAAAATCGGAAAGCCCACAAAATGGATTGCCAAGGTCGTGGATGGATACATGCTCCCCTCGGCTGTGACTTGTGCGCGAGTTTGTTGATGGTTAGTGTGGCCTCGTCCGTTACCGACACCTTATGTTGTAAAGCGATTCGACACCATTCCAGCAAGGTTTCGTGGTGTAGTTGGTTATCACATCAGTCTAACATCGATTTGGTACACTGAAGGTCTCCGGTTCGATCCCGGACGAAACCATACAGTTCGCCGCAGCTAGTTCCGATAGAATGGAGAACCACTTTTTTTTTTTCGGCCCTCCTTTGGCAAACGTCTGTGGTGTTCAACGTCAAGTGGTTTGTTTCTGTGCGGTATTTGCTTTTTGGGTGGGTGCACCTTCCCATAGGAGGTGACCCATGTTCTTTTTTTCTGGCGTGCTTTGGGAGCGTATGTGACGTTCAAAGTCTGGTTTTTTTTCTGTTGGTCTTTAATGAAGCGACCTCCGTTGGGGTAGGTGGGGGAGCAAGTTTTTTTTTGCGTCCCGGGGAGAACCCGCAGCTGTGGTGGGAATGGGATTTGTCTGTGAAGTTCAAGTGTAAAGCCAAAATATCATATGGGTCGATGGGTGTTGGAGGTTTTTAACTTGAATGTTCATCTTTTTGGGGGTTTCATGTAGTAGTACTATGGAATTTACTGATGGGAGCACCCACGTACCGCCATGACCAAGTGCTGTTTCTATTCCTTCAGTGAGATCCCGATTGCATTAGAAGGAAGAAATGAAATGAAATGTTTCCGCCCTTTCGCACTCGACTTGCATTCCGAAGCCTATCTTGTTTTTTTTTGGGTCTCGAATGGAGCGTCTGACGGGCGCAACAAATGTCCCGTAGACCGATGGACTGTAGACCATGACCCATTAACACGACAGCAAGCAAGCACCCACGAACAAAACCCATAATTTCAACCTGGAAAAGAAAAGGGGCAGTCCTTTGTGTATTTTTTTTCTTTTCGTTCAAATATTAACTTTCAGTGCGGGCCCCACACCTGCTTCCCGTCCACCACATCCACATCCCATCCCACACGCTCCAGAACAAAAAAAGGGAACACCAAAAAAATTCCAATTATAAATACCGAGGCCAACCCCAATCCACATTTTCTATCCCTCCCCACGGCAGTTTTCCGAAACCGAGTCAGCTTCACGACTTGATACAAGACCCCACGACAGGTTGCGATGAGGTCACAGACGAGGTGGTACCCGCGCTCGCCCCCGCCGCAGCCCCAGCAGCCCCAGCACGATTATGTACCATATGACTCTTAACCAAATGCCCCGCAGCCAGTGCACTCAACAAGCTCAATTCACCCGCCATAACACTCGCGCAGATGATCCGGGCGAGTTTCTGTGCGTTGGCGCCGGGTGTGTCCGTGTTTGCGCCGCGGACGCCGAGCATTTCGAGACAGGCGGATTGGGCGGGGAGTGCGGTGCCGCCGCCGACGGTGCCGACTTCGACGCAGGGCATCGTGCAGGAGATGTAGAGGTCGTTGCCGTTGACGCTGGATCGAAGAAAGACAAGTCAGCATAAAAGCATAAAACGCTGACAAGAAATATCCAAAGGCACTCACCACTCCATCAAAGTCATACACTGCGAACTCTCCACATTCTGCGCCGGATCCTGCCCAGTCGCCAGGTACACCGCCGTCAAAATATTCGCCGAATGGGCGTTAAACCCACCCACACTCCCCGCCATCGCACTGCCCACAAGATTCTTGGCAATATTGACTTCCACAAGCGCTTGCGTCGTGGTTTTTAGAACTGTTTCGACCACTTTGGCGGGGATCACGGCTTCGGATACCACGCTCTTGCCGCGACCTTCAATCCAGTTGATGGCTGCGGGTTTCTTGTCCGTGCAGTAGTTGCCGCTGATGGCGATAACTTGCATGTCGGGGAATTCGGAGGAGAGGGTGGAGAGGGCTTGTTCGACGCCTTTGGAGATCATGTTCATGCCCATGGCGTCGCCGGTTGTGGCGGAGAAGCGGATGAAGACTAGGCGGCCTGCTATTCCCACCTTGACCTGAAATGAATTGCTTTTGCGTTAGCGCGTCCACGTCGACCTCAACAATGAAAACCAAAACCACCCACCTTTTTTAACCTCGCAAACCGACTAGTACTATCAAACGCCGCCTTGACACTCTCCAACCCCTCACCCTCCAACCAAGCCTTAGCAGCCGCCGCCCTCCCCACATTCGGAAACTGCACCACCGGTCCTCTCGTCATGCCATCCGCCACCAGAGCCGTCCTCGCCCCACCGCCCATGGAAATCGCCTTACACCCTCGCGACGTCGATGCAACAAGACACCCCTCGGTCGTCGCCATGGGGATTTGGTATACGTCCCCGTCAATGGTAAATGGACCCGCGACGCCAACGGGTAACGGGAGGTACCCAATGACGTTTTCGCAGCATACGCCGAGGACTTTGGAGTAGTCGTAGTGGTCTACGGGGAGGAGGGAAGAAGGGAGGTCGTTCTTGGTGGTGCGGCCTACCAATACCCGCCGGATCCGTACAGCGCGCACGTAGCCTTTCAACACTTTTTCTAATGCGTAGGGCGCAATCTTGCCCGCATCTACTAGCGCGACAACTTCGTTGTCGCTCAGTGCGTGCGGGCCGACGGTTTTCAGCGTGTCGACGCATTCTTCTACAGGTCGTACTGACCCGCTGCTACAGGAAATGTTCACAGCAGAATCCACTTTGGGCAGGAGCTCAGAAGGCTGTGGACGCGCAGTCGCTGGTGGTGCGAGAGGTGGTAATGACGCCACAGCAGCGGGTTTGGATCGTTGTGGTGCGGGTTCAGATGGTGCAGCAACAGGCTCAACCGTCTTCGGTTGCTCAACAACAACGTCGGACGGTGCCACCGAAGACGCCTTGGACTTGAACAGCGATCCCAAAACCCTCGCAACAACAATAGCAGAACAAAATGCGACAATCCCAATCCACACCCGATCCGAGACCAAGAACGAGTTTGCCACCTGCTCAAGAAGCGGTGTAACAGGGAGCGGGTTGATTTCGTCCATTTTGTACGTGTGGGCGTACAAAACGTACGGCACGGCAATGTTGACGATGCTCGTTCCCATCTCGCCGCCAGTCGCGGTCGTTTCGGCCTGGATTTGACGGAGAATTGGGGCCGCGGTGCTGGTTTTGAGGTCTAGGTCGGCGTTGACGCTGCCGCTGCCGTAGTTGTAGGACGCGGAGGCGTTGAGGGCGTGCATGGCGAGGAAGGCTAGGATCTGGTATCCAACAGGGATAGAGCCGATCGTGAGTACACAAAACAAACATCACCGAAAATCCATGTGACAAGACATACCAAAATAAGCTTCATCCTCGGAATCAACGGGTTCGGCTCCTTCCCATCCTTCGTAGACGACTCCGACCCACCCGTCATAGCCACAAAATCAAACGCCTGACCCGCACCACCATTCGCCTTTGCCCCTCCAACCGCGCTACCAACAGACAACGACCCATCTGCGTCGGCAGAACTTTCGCGGATCCGCTTCAGTTCGAGTTTGAGGGTGAGGACAGAGAGGAAGAGGGTGAACATGAAGACGCAGTCAAAGAAGGTGATGAAGGCTGCGATGATGCAGAATTCGGGGAGGCCGCCGGAGATGCCTATGAATCGTTGCAAAAACATCGCGATTAATTCATGTAATGAACGTAAAAATCCCGACACGCGAAAATTCGATGAATATCCAACTCACCAGAAAATCCTCCAAGACCCAACACGATGACCTCAATCAGGTAATCCAACAGCAACGACGGTCCCACCGCCACAGCGCCGTTCACGACCTTGTCACGAACAGGAATGGACGGGTCGCCTTTCGCTTCCTCCATAATGGCTTTGGCGAGGACGTAGGGTTTTTCGAACCCGATGGTGATGACTAGGAACGGGATCGCTTCACTGTGGAGGAGAAGATTGTGAGGTCAGATCGTAGAGTGACGGAGCATGCCAGACGAAACGCAATAAAACCCAATACGCACCCAAATTGAACAATGCTCAAAGTAATTCCCATAGCCTTGGTGATCACCAAAGCAGCCAAAAGCGCAAACGTCCCATTAATCAACACGGCGAATCCCAACGAAAATTTTGACCCCAACTTCCTCATGTTCATAAACAGGGTGGCAAACGTCGCATGCATCAACACAAAGCAAATGCCAATCACAAACAAGTCGGAACTGCTGGAGGTTTCAACGTATTCGCGGAATCGCCAGAGGATTTCGGCCCAGAGGGGTACTTCTTGGCCTCCCGCTGCGGCGTATTCGGGGTAAAGGGTGTCGGTGCGGAGGGAGTCGACTTTGGATTCCCAGAGGCGGGCGAGGTGGGCGTTGGTTGGGGACGTGATGTCGAGGACAAAGGAGAGGACGAGGGATTCGGCGCCGGCGACGGTTTGGTGGTGTCCTTGGTCTTCGTCACCCGCCAATTTAATGTTTCCAAACATGGAGCGGATGAGGTCGGCTTTTGCGGTGTCGGATGAGTTGTTGGCGAAGAGGGCGGAAGAGACGGTTGCGAGAGGGTCGCGGTCTGCGTCGATCTTTGCGGGATCAGAGTTCCAGAGGAGTGCGAGGGGAGATGCCGTCAAGCATTCTGGGAATGGTTAAGTGGTTAGCAGGGATGTTTAAATCAATAAACGACCTTCGCCAACCATTCGGCATTGCTGCACAAATCCATGGATCGCTCGCCCATGTAAAAAACTCACCATCATTCCCAACACTCTTGAAACACAAATCAGCAAAGCTCACATCCCCACCCATCGCATTCCCAACAGCACCCGTATCCTTGACCGTCAACCTCTCGATAACATGATACAGATTCAACGCAGATTTCAAGATGCTTCTCGTCAAAACACCCTGCGGCGGCAATATGGCGACGAATTTGGGAGCATCCACGACAACCTGTTTCAACAAGAGGACGCGACTGGCATTTTCCAACTGGCCGATACGGTCCACCGCTCCACCATCAGCACCATCAACAGGACTGTGGTCGATAGCGAGTTGCTGTTGTTCCCCTCCATTATCCAATCTCAAAAGCTGGTCACTCGTCACCGCGACTCTCGCCGTGCGCAAAGATAAGGTCGGAGATGTATTAGGTTGTTGTTGGAAAAAGTGGATGAGGGAAAAGTAGCATGCCGAAGCGACGAGGAGGCAGAGGGCTATTGTTTCGAGGGGGTGTCGTGCGGCGGCGTGGGTGAGGGGTCTGAGGAGTTTGCGAGGGAGGAT